GTACTGGTCACACCTACCAACTACTGCCTCTCTCTAAACAGATGTGAAACAGCTGGGGTTTAGCAGGAGACAAGACCTGTTGGAGGAGTTCTTGTCTTTGATGAGCAGGGACCAGCACCCCAGTGAGGTAAGGAAGCTGATAACACCCATGAAGAGCTGAGCCCCCACACAGCCACTTGCTGTGAGATGGTGGAGGGAGCTGGGGCAGTAAAAGGGCAGAGCTCAAGCTCAGTTACCATTTCCCATCAAAGGCAGGTGTTCAGCCATCCCTAGGAAGGCCAGGCTCCTGGAAAGCTCATGTATAACAGTTACTTGGGATGTCAAACACCATCACTCCAAATGAATCCCCCATTCCTCCTTTCCCCAGCTTTATCTGCTGAGCATGACATCCTGTGGTCTGAAATATCCCATGGGCATTTAGGGTCAGCTGTCTCAGAGGTGTCCCCTCCCAGTCCTTGTTGTGCCACACACCCTATGCACCCCCAGCCCACTCCCTGGTGGTGGAACCCTGATGCTCTAAGCACTGCCCAGCAATAACAAAAATATCCCTGTGTTATCAACATACTTCCCATCTTAAATACAAAACACAGCCCCAGAGTAAGAAAGAAGAAACTGAAGAAATTTCACTCTCTCCCAGCCAAAATCAGCACAGAAGCTCAGTAGAGAGTAGTGGTGTTTCCCTAGACTGGGTAAATGCTGTATCCCTGGTCAGTCCTAGAGATCCAGTTCCAGTGCATTTGCCACTGCAAATTTTCAGATCCATGTGAGCTTATCCAGGCCTGCTGAACCACTTGGATTGTCTTCAGCCTATAAAGAAACCTCACATTAACAGAGCAGGATCCCTTCTTACCAGGGTTTGGAGAAGTGATGCAGCCCAACCAGCCATATCTCTGGGGAAGCACAAGGCAGAATTGAGGATTTTTGCTAAGGATTTCATTGCAGTAATTGCTTTCTCAAGCTGAAGGGTGTTGAAGGAGAATACAGCTGTGCCTGCAAAGCCACCTTGGAGCTTGCCTAGTGGGGACAGCCTCCTGACAGAAGTGACAGATTTGTCTCCCGGTGTAATGATTCTTAATTCACAAATTTAAATCATATACAGAGCAAGCCTGTGGGAGCAGCAGGAGAAATTGCCCTGAAAAGCTTCTGTTCATTTCAGAGGTTTTGTTCTTCACAGCACAATGTTTTCACAGATTCAGCTGGCATTTGCCAATTGTGCTGAAGAAATCAAAGCTGTCCATGAGGCTGCTGGGCCGGGGCAGGTCCCGCTGGAGTGGACAGGGAGTGCTCTGGGCCATGTCGTGGTGCTGTTTGCCAGGGTTGGGAGAACCCAGGATGCCTGGTACGTGTGGGCTCTCTGAGCTCTGGGCTTGCTGACGCTGCAACTCAAGGCTTAATCACAAAAAGCAAAGGCTAATGACCTATGCCTTGGAATGCCAGTGCAGACAAAGAGAGGGGATAAAGCCTGCAGGGAATGTCATGGGGGTTTTTCCTTATTGTTCCTTCATGACACCAGGTGACAGTTGTCTGTCTTAAAAATGGTTTAGAATCCAATGTAGTATCTGGTGTAGAGCTTTGTACAGCTGCTTATGGCAAGGTGTGGTCTGATCCTGACCACTGCTGAGTGCCTACAACTCACCAGTTTTGATTTTTAGAACTCATTGGAATTCAAACTGATAGAGATTAATTAGTTTAATTAAATTTTTAATTAGCAGCAGTCCTAATCAAAACTCTAAATAGGCTATTTTTAGTACTCTAATAGGTAGAATTTACTGTCCCATATGCTCTAAACTTGAAATACAGGTTAAAATATCTAGCTTCTGATTAAAGGTTTTAAGCTATTTTCTGTTAAATGCAGATGTACAGTGATTAATTTGAAACACAGAAGTAGCAACAAAGGAGTCTGTTAAAATACTAAAAATGTGTCGTATTTTAAAGGAAAATTGCCACCAGCTACACTTACCATTTTCTGCAGAGTGTAAGATACTTTGTGTTAAACTAATCAGTGAGGTTAGCTCATACAGATGGCATTTGCAAGGATACAGCATGAGATCCACGGGGAAGATTTATGGATTTGAGCTTAGCTGTGTTTCAGTGGAGGCTCATCCATCAGGGTGAATATCTGTCTGTTCCTGTTATGTGCAGTTTTAAACTTAATGATTTTGTTTTCTTTTGAACAGGAACATGATGGAGCATTTCCAGAAAATCAATAGGATTCCCACGTAAGTATTTTTAGGTTCTTCACTTACTGAGTCTCCCCTTTGGCTGAGATCCTGAATTAAGGGATGAAGGAATAGTTTGGGATGAAAGGGACTTTTAAAGGTCAGGTAGTCCAACCTCCAGTTGTAACTGATAGTAGTGGTCCATTTATTTCCAGAACATGAATGTGTGTCTGTCCCTGTGAGCATGGCTGTTTGTTTATCCAGTGGAAATATTCCAAGAGCTTTCTGTCTTGGAATACCTGTTTCAAGCACGTTGAAAGTGCAAAGTGGGAGGGACTGAAGTGGTTGGTGTCTGAAGCTCTGGGCCATGGAGAGCAGTGCCACTGATGAACTCAGCTGTGCAAATCAGACTGAGCAGGACTCACAGATATCTGGTTTCATGTGCTCAGAAATATCCCAGTACACTCTTAACCAAGCACGGGTGTTTCAGAGGTGCCTGGATTTCTGAACACAAGTCTGTTGAGTCAAATGCTAAATCTTAGGTGGTTCCCTGTTGGGCTACACCAGCTTGCTTGTCTTGGGATTCTGGAGGAGGGAATTGTTTGAAGTAGAACACAACTTGTAAGGAATAGTAATGGGTTTTGTTTGGGTGTGGGTTTTTTTTAAATAAAGTTGGAGCTTGCCCCCGTGAGCACCATGAGGGTGTGTGGTACCAAAGGCTGCACGCCTAGTGGCACTCTGTGCCTGCTCTCTTCTGCTGGGACAGAAGTTCCCAAACTTACCACATAGTCTTCCCTCTGTACCAGAGGTGAAGTTCCTGGCAGGAGCAGAGATGAACTGGTTGACCTGAAAATGTCACCTTCTCTCCCTCTCTAAAGCATGGGCTATAAATTAATGGGCACCTCTCCTGTGACTCTGAGAACAGTCACCATTTCCCTTTGCAGTGAAAAGGTGATGGACGAGTTCTTGAACTGTGCTAAGCAAAACAATTGCCCAGATGAGGCAATTAAGATGGTAAAGCTGGCAGCATCCCTTGGACTTCCTTTATCTCAAAGGCTGAAAAGCAGAACAGAGGAGGAATTTCAACTCTCTGAAACACAGAAGTAAGTTGGAATGTTTCATGTTACTGCTGAAGGGGTACATTAGACAGGGTCTTGGTGGGGCAACATCTTTGGAAAGGCTTCTCTGACAAGGGAGCAGACAGCTGGCTTCAGAATGATGTGCTGGTGTGTTGACTCCAGGACTGAAATGGCCCCTCAGTTTTTGATTCCATGCTGTATCCATCCCACCTAGGAGGAAAGGGAGTTTTCCATGGTGGGGTTAGCCTTATCCACTGCTCAGTCCTGCTATTGCCTTCCTTTCCTGGAATCTTTTCCTAGCTGGGTCTGGCTGCCTGAAGACACTGCTGCAGCCCAGTAGAAGCAGGAGGGTGGTGCAGGATGGCCCTGAATGTGGCTGCCAGGTTCTGAGGCTTGTGGTCACCTCTCATTGCACTGCTTTAGCAAGCCCAGGTGATCCTCAGATGGTGATCAGGGCTTGAGGGACCAGTTTGGAGCCAGATGTGCTCCAAGGGAATAAACACCAGCACCCCTGACAGCTGGCTCACCACCTGGAGGGCAGCTGAAGGAGTTGGCTTTTCCAAGAGCATGTGCTTCCACCACCAAGGGTGCACTTGTCCTTTGGGGACAGTAGGCATTAGACAGCCCGTAATATTCTCTGTTTGCCTTGTGTTTTGGGATCTCTTTTCAAGCACAAGTCCCAACAGGTGACTGATGACTGATCTGTTTGATATCACAGGAAGGCACTGGAGAGTATCAAGTGGGATGGTGACAGCAGCGACAGTGACAGTAGTGACAGTGACCGAGAGTAGCTGTCCCTCTTCCTCTTGGGAAAACTGGGAGCAACTGTTGCCATGATACCGGGAGGCTTTGGAAGGAGTGGAATTACTGAAGGAATGGCTTCTGGGAGGTGCTGCAGCACTGATGAATGCTCGGAGTGTTCTGATACGGGACCTGCGTGGCAAGACGCCGTCCCCAGGTGCCAGCTGGCAGCTGTTAAATCCTCTTGGTGAGGTGGGACACAGCGTGGGCTACCCCAGGTCTCCTCCCCAGCACCCCTGCAAGAGCTGGCTCCTGATAAACAGCATCACTGAGGGTGGAGGGCTGCAGGGAGGGGTGCTGTGCACCCTGGGGGTTGCTCAGGCAGGCACAAGACTTCCACAGCTTCAGCAAGACTTCTTGTGGGCCTCCTGTCACTTGACCCTGCACCAGCTGTCACTCCTTTCCATCTAACTTTGCTGAACTACTTAAATACTGAGTTTATTCTGTATATAAACACTGAAGTAATGCAATACTCGGCACCTGTGGTGTTATTCCTCATCCTTTTGGTGTTTTGGGACAGGTGTTGGGAGTCTGGATGTTAAATTACACTTTGTACAGCTGGAAACTGTCTCTAATAAATGACTGATATTAAAGCTGGCTGTATTCTGATAATGCTTGAGCAAAAACTCAAAAGTTGAACCAAAGTTTACCTTTCTGGCAGAAATACCTGATGTTCTAGAACTACGGCAGAGCAGCTCTGACAAGAAACCTACCAGGGCAGAGATCCAGGACAGGATGTGCTCTTACACCAGTTTTGTACATATCCTATACTCAAAGATAGATTTTTTTTTTTTTTTTAATGCTGTACAAATTAATAAATCACATCAGTGAGGTCTTGCTTTCTTGCTCCTTGAAAGAAGTAAATTAGAGTTTTAACTCTTGAGGTCATGGGAAAGACTGAGCTTTGTACTGCCCAGCTGCAGTTGATATTTAAACAGGAGACTGAAACAGCAGGAGCAAGTGGTTGAAGTCTTGTTTTATTCAGCTGACAAAGTGGCAAATGATTAATGGCAGGTTACAAACATTATTTTGGTTCGATCACAGGCCCACTTGGTAAAGATGGGGAAACATTAATTCTTACACAAATTGTAGGGAAGCTTCCTGAAGTTGGTTGTCATGACAACTCAAAACCAACAAAAATACAACAGATGGTGAAATTAAATACAGTGCAAGGAAACAAGATGGTACCCGTGCTTTGATTTACTGCTTCCAGCCCCTGCCAACAGCTCTGTTTGAACCCTCAGGAGATCATGGGATTTCTCTCTGGCCCAGAACAGCTGAACTGCCTCCAAGCTCCAATCCTAGCTCACTGCACTTGAGTTGTTCCCAACCCCACAGCACTGGCGTACGCTGTCAAGATATCCACAATCTGTTTGGTTTCTAGGGTCATCCGCGCTTCCGTGAGCCAGTCGTGTGCCACCCTCCTCGACTCCCCTCGTAACTGGTTGACAAATTTGGCCGCCAGCTCCAGGTCTCCGTGCTCGATGCAGTAGGAAGCGTAAGACAGTAACTTAAACGTGTCGAGGTCGTCGGGGCTGAGCTCGGCCGGTGGCTTCAGCTGCTGAGGGTGGAACACCAGCAGCGACTGCAGGTAGGACAGGAAGTATTGGTACAGGCTGTTCCTCGTCTCGTCGATCATGGCCACTCGTTTTGCCAGTTTTTGGACTGTGTAGAAGCGTGCTCTGAGGGCCTCCTCGCTGTACACGCCCCGCGTCAGGGACTCCTCCGGCAGAGCTGCTGTTAAGGCTTCCGTGAAGGCGTTGTCGGCGCAGCTGGCTTTGATGGCCTTCACCGCGCTGCCCAGGGGCTCCGTGGGACTGTCCCCCGTGCCTGACCTCATGCAGAATTTGAGCGCTTCCACAGAGAGCCACAGCTGATGGGCCTTCCTGGCCTCCTCTTCTGCTACTGCGTGACCTGCAAGGGAAGCCAAGAAGGGGCTCTAGTTGGGCACGTGTGGCTTTGAGAACAAGCAGCAAGAGCCATCCCTCTCCACCCTCTGCTTTCCAAAGCAGCCAACCCATCAGCGTGTGCTCTAAAGCAAGTCTGTCCCACAGCTTAGAGCCAGAACAAGACAACTTTTGAAAGAACCACCTCGGACTTCACTCATCTGGGATTTGCTGGGTGCTCAGCAGTGTGAACTACGTGCCTAAGCCTGGGTTTAGATGCCCAAGTTTGGGCAAGGGGCCTTTGGGGAACACAGTTTTAGTCCTTAAAGAAAGAGGAATTCAGTGCTCACTCTCGACTGCTTGCTCAATTCCCTTCAGCCTGGCATAGGCGGTGTTTATATCCAAGGTGAAGTTGTCAAGCTGTTCCTGAGTAAGGCGTCTGAACTGCATCTCCTGTTCACTGAGCTTCTCTGATAGGTTCTGAAACAGTGCAATAGAAGTAACAGAAACAGCTGGTTAGTAATATTTACCTTATTTTTAAAACATTTCTATAAATCTGTTGTCCTTGTTAGGGCCAATGCATACAGTAAATATACCAGTAAGAAACTTTATTGGGGTGAATTTAACACTGCACTTATTCCAAAAATTTATCACCTATAGCAAAAGCTTTTCAGACAAGTCTGAATAAAACCTACACATTGGGTCACTCAGTATCACCTCAAGGTAAGCTTGCTTCCCTCCCCAGCCCCCATTTCAATCCCTTGGAACATGTTTCAGGACTCTTGTCATATGAAACCTGTGCTTTGCAAGGGTTCGAATATCCCTTTCATTCCCCTGGGGACTCCTCTCCCTTACCTGCTCAAATTCCACCTTTAGATCCTGCTCCTGGATCTTCAGGACGTCTCTGAGGTGGTCGGTGTGGGCAGCAGCCTGGCGCCGGAGCTGGGTCCGCATTTCGGTCTCCATCACCTCCCGCACCTCTTCCACCTGCGCACACGAGGGGTGTAATGCACCAGCACTGCTCAGCTGCTTGTCACACACTCACAGGATCACACCAGTGATGGCTGGGGATACATGTCAGAGCAGTAGCACTGACAGAGCCTCTCCTTCAGCCTGAAGACCTGCTGAGGTCCAGTTTTACAGCTGACCCTTTTCCTAGGGATGTTAAGGAATAGATTCCTGGCTCACCATGTGAGTAACTGCTGGTTACTCAGTAGGCACTTAGTGCAGCTACCAAAACAGTATATAAAAAATACACAGTATGTCAAATCAAACACTCAAACACTTTTGGAGGCTGGTTTATAAACGAGCTTCTGAGCCAAAGAGACTTTACCTTTTCCCAGCGTAGCCCTATAATGGCCACACAAGGTCAGATCAAACACTGAAACTGTCAGTGACAGTGGTGAGGCACTGGCACAGAGTGCCCAGAGAAGCTGAGGCTGCCCAAACTCCTTCCCAAGATCATATTCAATGGGGCTTGGAGCAACCTGGTCTAGTGGAAGCTGTCCCTGCCCATGGCAGGAGGGTGGAACAAGGCGATCTTGAAGGTCTGTTCTAACCCAAATCATTCTAGGATTTATTTTGATCCAGTAATTCCATCTCCAACAGGAGCCAAGTAACTTCACAAAGTCATCCCCTGTATGATTTCACCCTTCTAACGTTGCAGCAGTTTCCTTGCTCAACATTTCCTTTTCATGTTTAGCCTGGGGGGTCACCCATGTGAAGTCTCCCACTACCCAGAATATCCCAGCTGTCCCTCTGGCCTTTTCCATTAACTCCTCCACCTTCTTTTTGACCCAAAGATTTAACCAGGTGCTTTATCCACTTTACCTTCCTCTCCTGTTCTAATTCAATCTCATTTTTGTGACGTTCCAGCGCTTTGGCCACAGCTGCCTCAAATGCTCTTTTATCTTCGAGTTTCTGCTTCTCCAGGGCGGTTTCGATGTGCTGCTGCTCGCGCACGCGCTGCTCCGCCAGCTCCCGGTTCAGCTGGTCGATGCGCCGGTGGGCGTGCGCGATCAGGGAGTTCAGGTCGTCTGTGGACAGCTGCCCAGCTGAAGGGAACACAGGGCATGAGGGGGGGATGGGAACCGCAGGGAAACTGCTGCAGTGCCCCCCCGCCTCCCACTCAGGTGCTCTGGGGCTCTAAGGGGTTATTGGCCAGTGAGCTTGTTCTAGGGAAGGTCTCTGAGCACTTCAAGCCCTTGACCTGTGCTAATGCCCACCTGAGACCACTTTCTGAACTCTATTTTCATTCCAGGAGAGAAATTATCATAGTTTCTCCAAATTATTCCCAGCTGTAATTTACACTTCCATATCCATGTCACACTCAAGAGACTGTCAACAGCTCTGTCATTTCTTGGTTTTTACACAACCACATATTTTCCCCTCTGCCAGCACACAGAGCAGCAGGGACTGTCACTGTGAGGGACAGACAGAATTACATTTTCTCTTCAACAGTCCTCCAGATGAACTGCCCCTAATCAGATTTTTTACCCCAGATTGTACCTTTCATGTTTGGCTACTCAGAGGGCAGCACAATTCACAACCACATTGTACCTGGGACAGGAGGACCCAAGCTAACCCTGCAGCATTTGGTGACCTGAGAAGGGCTTTATAAAATGCTGCAGCTCATTTTGCACTGGCTGCAAGTTAAATCATCTGTGTGGAAAGCTGGGACTACTTGGGGAAGTATTCCTGAAGGGTCTAAAGCAAGCAAGATTGCACAGTCCTTCAGATACCTTGCTGCTGAGTGCTGGAGAAAGGACTGGCACAGGAGGACTGGGAGCAGTGGTGCTCATTGTCCAGTGGGAAAGGTGGCCAAGCTCAGCTGTTGGATGTAACAGTGTTACAAAAAGACTCGTTTGTGGTTTAAGCCAAGTGTGCAACATGACTGGAAAGGGTCCCAAGGCGTATCTCAGCCTGGAATGTTGGAGGAATGCCACATTTCACTCTTTGTTGATAACTGCCTGTAACTTACAGCCATGCCCCACACAAACATAAAAAGGACAAAGAGAAGAGATAACTTTCAAGGGACAGGAACAAGTGACAGTAACTCACCTAAGTCAGTTATCTCTGTAACAGAAAGAAGTTGGAAAAGTTAGTGCACATTCACTACAGCAAGGCAGTCATGCAGAAGTAAAATAGGAAACTAAGCTTATCTACAGTGACTTAAACATGAGACCAAGTCCTTAGGAATTCAGGAAGAACAGTATGTGGAGTATAAAAGCCTCTGTATTACAGGCAAGATGTAGCCCAAGACACCCCAACCACTAAAACCACCTTGGAAACCCACAGATGGACACTCGAATTCAGCCAGAGCAAGGAACAGAAGTTTGAAGTGGGTAAGTGCAGCAGGACACCAGAAATTTTAGTCTGCCATTTTTAGGGTCTTACAAACAGAAGCAGCTGGTCAAGAAACAAACTCCCCAGTGACAGTGAGAGTCAGGGACCCCAACAAGTCTGTCCCATTCAGCAAGCCACACCAGTAAGAAATGGGGCACATGGAAGCCACCAGGAGCTTCCCTTTCCTCCCACAGAAGGGCAGTGATCACAAAACCCAAGATCTGTCCTGTGCAAGGAAAGGCAGCTCCATCCCCAGGGAGCCTAAATAAGTTTGTTCTCTTCAGAACTAGTAACACCCCAAAAGCAAACTCCACAAACAATTTGTTAATTTCAAATATTTTCCCCACATATACTGGGTGTGAGGTTGGCTGTTCTTTTAAATGAAAACTGACCATTCCAAAGGTCTGGTGTATTGATTTAGCCAGGAAAAATTATTTTGTGGACTATGGTCCACATTCCTAAAGCATAAAGTAGAACTAATAAAATCTGTTGTAATTCTGCATTGTATACTGCAAGAAAATATTAAGGCAATACTGACACTTTTTTCAAATGACAATTACTACTTCTATAAAAAAATCTGTAACTTGGAAATAAAGCCTTAACATCTGCCTCTGAACACATCAGCTAGAAAAGTCTGAGATCACTTAGTACATTTATGTTGAAACATGACTGGAAATATCTGGAAATCTGGGGTTTTTAGGGAATTCATTTTTTTGAACTACCACAGACAGTAATTGTTCCATGGACATACCACACGTGGGTTCTTGCAGGAGCTCATCCACAGTAATGTGAACACACACAATCCACCTCCTGCAACTGTGCTTGTCTTTAAAATGAAAGCAGCTAAGGTGAGCAAAGGCACCTGTGGCAAGGAGTGTGCAGGGAGCACTACTGGGGGTGAGCTGACTGTTCACTGCTTTTGTGCAGCACTGGTGTTGCTACAGGTGTGTTACTGTGTCAGTTTGGTTCAGAAATAAAATGTACTGGGGCAGGCAGGGTATAAACAATGAAACCTCTCCCTTTCAGTGATGATGTAGAAAAATTCAGGAAGTTCTTTATCACCCTGTAACAATGGTGTTTTATAATACCTCTAATCACAGTCAACCAAGTATTTGATTACTGCTTAACATCAGATCTGATTGAAATCTGGAATGACCTGGCTCCCTTCCTGAAAATACCAGGGAGGGGAGAGATATTCATACAACTAATATGAGATTTATCACACAAGAGCCATGTTTTGTGATACTTCCCATACAGCACAGAGAGAACTGATTCTCTTCATAACACCTGCTTTAGATTATTTAATTTAGTTGTGAAATCATTTTCACTTCAGACCAACCAAATACTGTGAAAATTTGAAAACTGGGATGGTGGACATTGAGTGGTCACGCTCTACAAACCACAGTGCAACAAGCACAAGGCAACCCCTCTCCAATGGGAGACTTACTCATCCCCTTCCAGCCAGGCTTCACGTCAGGGGTGATGCTGTCCAGCTCCTTCTGGAACTCCTCTCTGGCTTTGGCCACCAGCTCGTGGTACTGAGCCACGATCTTGGCCTCAGACTGTGCTGCCTGAACCTGAAACAAACAAGGGTGAGATTAATTTGTTTATCAAGGCAAAGGTTGAAATTGAAGGCATGTATCATTTAAAGCCAAGCCCTGGCATAATGGCACATATCAACCCCAGCCCAAGCAAGGCAAACTCACTTGGGAGAGCACAGAAACCCACCCTGTCATATTAAACCTCTCTTACACAATAATTATTTGCTGGAACTTTAACTAATCCATTTTGCCTCACATGCCCACTGTAGCTACACAGCCAGTCTGTAGCCTGGACAGGACCAAGAGTACCTTGAATTCAGTTTATATCTTAAACATCCCCAGCTCCTTCTCTCTGCTCACAGCCATCATACAGGCCTAGTAAGCAATGCCTGTGATTGCTGCCATCCTCAGTGAGTTCTGATGTTCCCACTATCAGGCTATATTCACCCCAAACACACCTGATGAATTACCAGCTGTCCTGCAAAAGGAGATAAACTTCACCTTTGCATTTCTTTCCCAGTCTTCTGAACTTCAAAGTGATTTACCATCAAGTCATTAATTAGCACACATTGAACTCCTCCCTAACCTTGTGGTAAATTACCTTGGAATCAAGTGGGAAGAATTACAAGTTGCCAACAGAAAGGACTGGGACCATCAAGCCACCTGGAGGCTCTTTCAAGACAGAGATCAAGTTCTCATGAAGATCTTGCCATGTCTGATTACTGGCAGTACAACTGGCAGCTCAAAGCCCGAGCACAGCTACAAGAGGATGGATTTACAATTCACAGTGCACTGGAAGGGGTCACAGCACTGAGCCTGTCTGAGCCCAAGAAGGCACAGGGTGGGATTCTTGGGGTGTCCTGTGCAGAACCAGGAGTTGGACTCAATGATCCTGATGTGTCCCTTCCAACTCAGCATATTCTGTGATTCTATGAAATATCTCCCTCCCTGCAGAGGATTTGGGAATGGGTGGTCTGTACAAATTGCCAAGGAGACCCTGCTCTAGAAGCAATTTTAAACAGTCTGAGGAAGCCTTACCTTTTTCACCACATTGTCCAAGTCCACAATCATGTGATGGAGATTTTCTTCTGCAGCAACAATGTGAGGTTTGGCTCCTGCCAGCTGAGACTTCTTGGCCCTCTCGATGACACCCTTTGTCTTCTCTAACTCCTCTCTGAAAAGAGAAGCAGCTGCTAAGTGTAACACACACAGGGCTTATCAACCCAAAGACAATTTACTTTATGCTGTTGGTATTCACAGGAACAACTACTGGGTAACTCTACTGGTGCTTCCTATCTACCAACTCTACGATACTTTGACTAAGGATTACTTTTTTCCCATAGCCTGAAACCTAAAAATGTCAGTGTGGCTATTCCATGTAAAATGAGAATTATTTATACTGCAATTAGTAATCAGGATTTAGCTAGAGGGAAGATGGAAGTTCACTGAAAGGAGTTAATATTAGTAAAACTAGAATTAGAGATTAAAATTAGGTTAGAATTATACAGCAGACATTTCCAGAACGTAATAGCAGCAAGGAAACATTTTTAATATAGATGGCTTACGCTTGCAGAAGTGTTTTGGACATGGTGACTGGTGGAGATTAATGAGGATGGGAGAGAATTTATAGGGCTCTGTAAAGATAATTATGTTTTTTTGTAATTAGGAAAGAAATGCTTTCCTCTAGCATAATTGGAAATCAAGGAAAAAGTGAAAAATGTTCCTTTTCTAAATCCATTCAAACCAACGGAGGTTTCCAATGACTTCATTAGAATAAGGAACAAGCTTTAAAATAAGTAAATTAAGAAAATAAATAAAAGCAAAGATATCCAGTAGAGCAATAGAGAATGAAAGCTGCTGCATGTGGGGTTTCCATTAGCTTTGTTTTAACAATGAAACCTCAATTACACCTCCCACTAATTTCAGTCAGCCCAGCAACATCAGAGATAAGGGAAGTTTATAATGTGATAGCAACCATGCAGCTTCAAGAATGATGTTGCCTCTCAGCCTTAGAAGCATCAAAGGGTTTCCAAATTTATTTCTAACCTCACTACAAGGGCATTTTGGAGATACTGTTTGTCATTTTATTTCTGCTCCTTCAGTGCCCACAGACCAGACTCAGGACACATCAACACAGGTCAAACAGACCCCAGGGTATGAGCAGTGCTGCCATTCAGAATTCAAGTTTTTCTTAGGCATGTGCTCAGTAAAAATCAAATTGCTTAAAAGCAATTCTGTGGACACAGGGAACTGCCAAAGGATGCTGCAAGGTTTAATTTTTTCATTACAACTAAAAGAAGCTGGTGATGTTATTGACTCCGTACAAGAGCGCAGCCATGGAGTCATCCTCAAACTGTTTGGGATGGAGGGGACTTCAGAGATCATCTCATTCCACCCCCTGCCATGGACAGGGACACCTTCCACTGGAACAGGTCACTCAGAGCCCCATCCAACCTGGCCTGGAACACCTCCAGAGATGGGGCAGCCACAGCTTTTCTGTGCAAACTGTGCCAGGGCCTCACCACCTTCACAGGGAAAAATTTCTTCCTAATATCAAATCTAAATCTGCCCTCTGTCAGTTGAAGCCATTCCCCCTTGTTCTGCCTTTGTAAAAAGTCCCTCCCCAGTTCTCTTGTATCTCCTTTAGGTGCTAGGGTGCTTGAAGGTCTCCCCAGAGCCTTCTCTTCTCCAGGCTGAAATCCTTATTTTTATTATTAACAAAATTATTCAAGAATAATACTAAACGGACTGTGGATTTTTTTTCATCTTCCTTGAACTTACCAGCACTCTAATTTAGTAATAAGGAGGTAAGTTCTTAAAAAGAACAGGACTGTTTCAGACTCTCTGCTACAGGGAGGACTTTGTGCACAGGCACCCAAGGTTTGCACATGTCAAATTAAAATGCTCCTGGCTAATGAGTATTAAACCATTTTTTGATGTGGCACAAACAGACCATTCCATATGAACACAGACAACTCCATACTTTCTAGAAACTCATCTGGTGTTTGCCAGCCCTCACATGAGCAATGTCACTTTTTACTCCAAGACTTCAATCCAGCAACTCACTTGGCTTTCAGAAGGGCATCAGCAGCTTCATCCACGGCTCTCCTGCGGTCCTTCAGCGCCTCCTCCAGCGTGCGCCACTGCGAGGATTTCTTCCCCCCGGCGTCCTGGGAAGCACAGACTCCTCATTAGGGTCACCACCACCACTGAACAACAGCTGCCACACAGTGGAAGCCTGGTCACTGAACATTGCCCTCAAACTGAGCACCATTCTTGTGTTTTTCAACAGCACAGCTGGAAGCTTTACAAGTGATGGTTCTCTTCCAACGTTTTGGTTTGGTTTTGTTTGATTCTTAATGGGTTTTTTTTCCTGAGCCACAGACCTTTATTGACCCAGAAGAGTTTACATGAGAATCACTGTAAGCTGCACAATGTATTGTGGGAAAATCTCCTCATGTATTAAAATACTTTAAAATTGCTTTTAAGCTTAATACTTAAAGTACAATAATACTTTAAAGTTGGTTGATTTAAAATTAAGCTTAGTAATCCTAATAAGCTTAAAAGCAATCTTTTAAGGCAGTTATTTTACTAACTACTAGATTAAGTCTTGAGTGCTTGGTTGGTTGCCCATGTCCCTGCTAACTGATTAACAACTGAATTTTATCTCTGCTGCAGAACTGAATGGGCAGTGGCAGACCCACACAAACCCTGGCATGAGCACACCACCAGTGTTACCACTTGTACATCCCCTTCCTATTTCCTGACAAGAAACAAACAATCCAGAAAGAGGATGTTGGCAAAGGGAAAAAGTTCAATGGAATTATTGGGGTGGACAGCATGGTCTTAACTAGGTAAAGAGTCTTGTGAATTAAAATAAAATTAATTAAAATACAGTGTGAAAACTATCAAATGTCTTAACTTGAATTTTCTTCTTGCAAAAAGAAAATAGAGGAGTTGGGAAAAAAAAAACCCAAACAACAAAATTCAAAATCAAAACCACTGTATTATTTGACTGTACCACATTTCACAAGTGGAAAGGTGAGTTAAAACTGCGATAAAGGCATTGCAAGAAATTATTCCAAATTTATTTTTAATTCAGATTTAAGTTTTGCTGAACCCAATGAAAAAGAAAAATTTGTCCCCACTTGTCCAATTTACCTCAGAATCATCCATGGCATCCTTCAGTATTTGGGAATGGGCATTCACTGCTTGCACAGCTGACTCCTGAGCAGTGATGGCCTGAAGGGTTACACGAGCAGTTGTGTTTAGGGCTCCTTCTAGAGTTGCTGCAAGGGCTGGAAAAAAAAGTTAAGTCAGTTAAACAACAAAGAAAAGAATTTTATAACTAGTAAAATAATATGTTACAGCCTCTACATCTCTTGAATTATTTTCTATGATCTAAAAGGGCTGGTCAGTTTGGGAATTAAACAGCAGCTTAGAGAAGAAGATCACCAAAATGCTCTCCTCATTTAGAGCAGAGGTATTGATGAGAGCAAAACATCACCCAGTGGAAGACCTCTCCCATGGGACTGCAGGGGGGTGCAGGTATATCCCATGTTCACTTGTTCTAATGGTTCTGGAAACACATTTTCATCTCTTCCTTGAACCCTGAAGTCTATTCCAACCTCAATTTTTCCATAATTCTTTTATTCTCAGTTATTTATGAGTGGGGGGAAGAAGCTTCATCACCACTGCCTGTGCCAACTCAACACAGGGACAACAGCCAAGAGGTGTGTAAGGAGCTTAGGACTATAGAGTCAGTCCAATTTCACAGTTCTGTCCCATGCAACACACAGGAACAGTGACAGTGTGGACTTACCTGATACCTTCTCTTGCTCCTCTTTGTCTTGCTGGGCAAGCCGGGCTGCAACTTCTTCTGGTGGCCGTTCTTTGATAGCATGGGAACCTTCGTGTTGTTTACCTATTCAGAAGTAAAAAAAGAGTCAAACTGCTTAAGTGGAGAGTCCCAATTAGTGTACAGAGGTTACTTGTAGGGATGTAACTTTATCAAAACTGATTTTTGTAGTTGGTATCACTTTGTAGATCTGATTTCTGCTCAAAGCCATGCTGGAACTACCTGAAGAATCTTTATACCCGTAACTGCAAACCCAATCTCACAACTTAAAGACAAGAGCATGGACACCTCACGTGCATTTGGAGATTCTCCACTGTCTAGTTACAAAATTATACAAGACTCAGAAGCCAAAGGCAAAGCAAGAAGTGAGAAACACTTAGAGAGCCAAGGTTAAATTTCAAGTGAATCTCCATTCTTGCTTTTTCTTAGCTCTCCTCTAGCATGCTTACAGAGCCCAACCAAAACAACGAAGGATGAGTGAGAATGCTATGGTGGATCACAATTATACTCCATTCCCTTGCCTACAACCACTTAAAATGCCTTTAAGAGTGAGAATTGACCTAAGTAATGCTTTCAAGATCAACAGCAAGTTGTACCTGAACTGAGGAGACAGCCCAGAGCTCTCAACCTCAAGCTGCAACAAAACCCATCAGGTCACCTCTGAATAATGCTGATGTTACTCTGCAGCATGTATTTAACCCTGGTATGCTTTCTATGAAATGTTCATAACCAGAAAAATTAATATAACCTAATCTCATCTGGAAGAGACCATCATCTCAAGGCTGGTGTCTCTTGTTGAGTTTAACAATAAACACAGTTTCCTCACCACAAGGCACAGAAACTCACACCTTTCAACAATGACAAATACCAACACAGAAGCAAGAATGCATGCACATGAAGCTAGAGGATTTGGGTTTTCTTCATTGTATTCACATGTTTTTTTTCACCTTCTTCAGTCTGTATCTCCGGAGCTGGCACTGACACGGCTACCCCTGTTGCAGAGATGATCTGTGCTGCAGCCTTGCCTGCTGTTAAACACAGTTGCAGAACACACCAGTTAGTACAGCTGGGGAGATGGCCTCCATCTGCCAGAGCAGGATGGCCAGAGCATCTTTGGTCAGGGGCCTGCTGAGCTGGTGAGGAGGGGCTTAAACCAAAGCTGCTGGGAGAGGGGGCCCAGGAAAAGGGAAGCTCATGTCATGGAGACATGGTGGGATGGCAACTGTGACTGGAGGGTTGGAATGGATGAAGGCTCTTCAGGAAGGCCTGGCAGAGGAGACAAGGAGAGCAATTATCCCCTTTGTCAATGACCAACTGGAGCAAATGGAGCTCTGCCTGGGATGGAAGAGGAGCCAACCAAGAGTTTATGGGTCAGGATTAAAGGGAGGGCAGGGATAGTTGACATTACATTGGGGGTCTGCTGCAGGATGACAGAGGAGATGACGCCCTCCAGTAAGGGAGCAGCATTGCTGAATAAGAGAAGAGCAAGTGACATCACCTCTCTGGATTTCAGAAATTTGAAGTGGCATTTGCCACTGTCTTACATGACATCCTTATCTCTAAACTGCAGAGACACGGATCTGATGGATGAACCACTCTGTAGATAAGGCACTGGCTGGATGGTTGTACTCAAGGAGTTGTGGTCAATGGCTCATGTCCAATGGATACCAGTGATAAGTGTGTTCCTCGAGGTCACTGTTGGGACCAGGACTGTTAAACATCTTTGATAGTGACCTGGGCAGTGGGACTGATGCACCCTCAACAGGTTTGCTGATGACATCCAGCTGAGCTGTGCAGTCACACAGTGAAGGGAAGGGATGTTCATCCACAGGGACTTGGAGAGGCTCAAGAGGTGGGACTGTGTGAGCCTCATGAAGCTCAACAAGACCAAATGCAACATCCTGCACTTGGACTGGGGCAAGTCCAAGCACAAACACAGGCTGGGGGGAGAATGCATCAAGAACAGCCCCCAGGAGAAGGACTTTGGGGTGCTGGTGGATGAGAGGCTCAACATGACCTTGCCATGTGCGCAGGCAGTCCAGAAACCACCTGTGTCCTGGCTGGACCCCCATCAGTGTGGGCAGCAGGTCAAGGGAGGATTCTGCCCCTCTACTCTGCTCTGGTGAGGCCCCACCTGCAGGGCTGCATCCACCTCTGGGCCCCCCACACAAGGAGGAAATGGATCTATTGGAGCAAGTCCAGAGAGAGCCACAAAGATGCTCAGAGGGCTGGAGCCCCTCTGCTGTGGAGACAGGTTGGGAGAGCTGGTTGTGTTCAGCATGGAGAAGGCTCCAGGGACACCTTCAATTACCTTCCAGTTTCTACATGAGAGCTGGAGATGGTCTTCTACAAGGGCATGGAGTGACAGGACAGGGGGAAGGGTTTCACACTGACAGAGGACAGGGTTAGATCAGATATTCTAGAAGAAATTCTTTATTGTGAGGGTGGTGAGGCACTGCACCAGGTTGCCCAGAGAAGCTGTGGCTGCCCCATCCCTGGAAGTGCTCATGGCCAGGTTGGATGTCCCTTTTGGGTCTAATGGAAGGTGTCCTGGCCCTTGGCAGGGGGTTGAAATTAGATGATTTTTAAGCTCTCTTCCAAACCACTCCATGCTAAGTGCTGTAATATAATAACAGGGCTATAAGTCTTAATTTTTTCCTCTGTAGAAAAATATTAATTGGATATGGATGTTATTATTTCCAGAAGAAGATGATTTCCTGGATAAACAGCAACAAGATATTAGTTACACATACACAGAGCCATTAGAGATAAACGTAAAAAGACATCACAAGTGCTCCTCTCTAAATGAGCTCCATTTGATCTGGCTTTACAGTAGCCCAGTAATTATCCAAAGTTAAGTATCTTGTGCTTGCAAGACCCTCTGAGTCCAGCATCTGAAGTTCTCTTCCTGCTGAGTCTCACATCTAAACTAAGCAGGTTAGTAATTATTTATCTCATATTCCAAATATCCTCTAAATTAAATACAATTCTTAAAGGGGGAAAAAAAAGCTAAACCCACTTTATGCAAATGTTATGACTTGGAAAGAAAAAAAAACATTAATTGTAAGAAATTACAATATTTACCTTAAACCATTCAAAGGACAATTTTAATCTACTCTACCATACATGATACAGGAGATCATTAGGTCATTTGCTTCTTTGTACATGACACTCTGTACATTTACCTCCTTTTTCCTCTGTAGGAGCAGCACCTTCTGGTTTGCCTATCTGGGATTTGGGAGCAGGCTGTTTAGACTCTTTCATTACTTCTGCTACAGATGAGATCTTCAGTGGACCTTGATGTATCTTGAAACACAGAAATAAGAAATATCATCAGTTTTTCAAACAGCTTGGATTTCACCAATTCCAGTATAATTTTCCATATCCAGGTGTCTGTACCATAAATCTGAGCTTCAAAGTGCAATTTAAAACAGCCATATAATGCCTTGACTTGATTTTTAATTCAGAAGGAATTTTTACAATTTTCTCCTCTCCAAAAATGCAGTTATAACTGTGGTAGTTTTCACTATAAACAAATATTTATTAAATTATGCATAAAAACAAATAGTTTCATGCTCCAAATATTCCAAGCACTTCTGAGTGTGTTGAATGTAGAAACCATTAAGTTTGGCTTCACTGATTTCCTGTTGAAAGGCTTCAGATACTGGTGGTTGGGGCACATAAACACTGAAACAGAGTATTGTGACATTTTATGATATTAATCCCTTAACATCCATTGTGGAAAGCCACAAGGTAAATATAAAACCATCTGAGTTAGAGCCATGACTGGGGAGTTGATAACTCTGCTGATCAATCTGGTTTGCAAAATTCCCTAGTGCCTGGGAGGCACCAAGAGCTTGGATGGTCACACAAACTGTAGCTAAAATGAGAAGAGAGAAAATTTTATTGACTGATATTTGCCCACTCATTAAGAACAGCTTTCTTAAAATTCAATTTAAAATATTTTCAGTTTGCAAATGGCTTCTGAAAGCTCAAAACCATGGCCAGAGCAGATTTTCAGTATTCTTGATTACTGGGAGTATTTCCTTTCACATGGAGGAGCAGAGAAACTTCCAGGTTTCAATTTCCAGAGTTGTGCCAAAGGCAGTATCAGATTTTTCTTTCTCCAGGGTAGTGCCACTAAGATTTCAAAGCATGATGCTTATACCTGGCTCTGTACCATTCAAATCTTTACTTATTCAAGAATGTTCTCAGTCCTCTTTAAAATAAGTTCATTTAGAGTAAGTTTTGTAATTCTGCTACACCACTAACTAATTGAACAGCAGTTAAATTCCAGCCTGTCACCCACCTCTCTCTGTCCCCATTTAATTTCTGAGTATAAGCAGAGCAGCTATTCAGTTGGGATTCTATTAGATTGTTTTACTGTAAATACAAACAAGTTTTACAACCCACACACCACAATCATGAGATGGTAATGGGAAATGTACAAGCATCACTTTTGCAGCACCAAGTAGGAACTGAGTTCCTAACTCTCAAAGCTTAATTTAAGGAATCTTAATTCTTCAGCTTTTTAAATTCTTAGCACAAAGCACTATTAATCAGAATTTGAAACCTAAGTGCAGACACTCTTTAAAAAACAGGTTAAGTGGACGTGTGGGGGTGGATGGGAAACACTTACTGGTTTCTTTGACACTGGTGTGCCGGAAGGTGCAGGGCCAAGTGCCATCTCAAAGAGTTTGTCAGAGTAGGGAATGGCCTTCTCCACGCTCTCCCTGAACTGTCTGTCATAGCTGGCATACAGGACGGTCCCACCTATCCCTCCTCCCACAAACAGCAGACCTGCACCAATGATTTTGCCCACGGAAACGCTGAGAAGGAAAGAAAGAGTGAAAGGGATGTAAATTACATAAATAAATAAATAATATTGTGAACATCAAAGAGTTTGTGAGTCTTCAGCTTACAGCTGGGGACCACCACTCTGTTCCAGAACCTGCTTTAAATCACCTTCAGCCTGGTACAACACTGGTTAGTGACTAACCCAAAGGTAAGATGCCAGCCCACAACTTCCATGATAAATATTGATCATCTTCATTTTCTTCATCTAAATCTGACTGAACCAAACAAGGAACACGCCCCATGACAACAGGATTTACTCCACAGAGAAATCCCACTGCCAGGAGTCTGCTGTCATGTGAAACCAAGGAGCAGAGCCCCTGTTGGTCAGACAGAACCAGTCCCACCCCCCAGACCCCGCTACGTACCCGGACTCCCCGGAGTGGGTGGCATATCCGCGGTACAGCCGCGATGGACGGAGCGAGGCTCTCACACACCGACTGTTCTGTGGGGAGGAGGCAGGGCCACAGTGAGACAGGGAAACATCTCCCTCCCAACAGCAGCACTGGGCTGACTGACTCCATTGCCACAACCTCAGTGTGGCTGTAGGAAAGCTGAGAGCAGCACTACAACGTTGAACTCTTTTCTGTGAAACATGGAGAGCTTTCCCATGTGATACTGTATTTGTAGGGACCCTCGTGGCAGGGAGGAATGATGAACCTGACTCCATGTTCTCAGAAGGCTAATTTACTACTTTATAATACTATGTTATATTAAAGAATACTATACTACACTAAAGAATACGGAAAGGACACTTACTGAATGTTAAAAAGATAATAATGAAAACTCATGACTCTCTCCAGACTCCCCACACAGCTTGGCACAGATTGGCCAAAGAGTGAAAACAACTCACAGCAGAATCCAATGAAACAATCACCTGTGGGTAAACAATCTCCAAACACATTCCACATGAGCAAAACACAGGAGAAGCAAATGAGATAAGAATTGTTTTCCTTTTTCTCTGAGGCTTCTCAGCTTTCCAGGGGAAAAATCCTGGACAAAGGGACTTTTCACAGAATGTGAATGCCACAATGTGCAGCTTCCAGGTTCAGAGCTTTTTAAGAAGTCATTCAATTCTTTGAAAAATGAATTGGAAATTTGAAAAATGAGAAGGAATAAACCCCTACCCCAGCTGCTTTCTGCATTTATTTTGCTGATTTATGTGCTGGGCAGTACAACTGGGTTAGTTTCAGATGCATTTCAATCTCACATACTAGAACAACTCAGTGTGAGCAGGGCAGAACACAACAGCTGTTTAAATGCTTCAAACTACTTTTAATTCTTAAGATATACAAGCAATTCTCCTTTAGCTTCCAAACCAAGACCACTACTTTAAAAGAATTAATAACATGCACACTTTCCAGACAGACATCAGATTATAATATAAATTAAATTAGTATATGAAGAGTGATATTTTATTATATTCTACTTAACAAGATCCACATTACCAAGACTTTTATCTTCTCTGAAGGACTGGTTAAGCTAGTCTAAGCCTACAGAAGAAAACACTCTTGGCCTCAGAGGTTTTTTCCCCACATGGGAATTACTAACAGGGAAATACAGGACTCATGAGAAATCAAAGTGCAAGGCACAAAAAGAACTTTTCCCACAGTTGAGGTATTTTGCCCAACAGGGAATTTTTATTTTAAAAAAGAAAAAACTGGGAGATGCTTCACTACAACACAATCCCAGAAGACAAGTTTCTGTATTTCCTTTTGCACGTGGCAATAACATGCACAACTCTTGTGGTTTAGGTCCTATCCCTGTCCAACAGCACAGACAGGAAAAGGCAGGAACACTGCTTTCTTATTCTTTCCACAAAGGCAGCCAAAACATTTTTAATTAGCAGCAGGAGGACATGTACAGCAAGAGGAAGAGTGCTCCTCTTGCCCCTGAGACCTCCAGGAGCCCTCAATGTGGGAGGTTTTCTGGATTATGATGGACAGAAAGGGCAACAAAATAATAAATATCTTCTGTAACATTTTTGATTTTCTGACTCGAGTGCTCCAGGAGCACTTCCTGAGGCTTCACTGCTCCTTGCAAGGGGAATTTCACTAATAAAAGCCTCACAAATTATTTTGTTACTAACTTCTGAATGTGCTCCTGACTCTCTCTATGTCCCTATTACACCACGAAGCACAGGAGGAGCAAATAATCCAGTATTATGCATACAGCTCAATCCAACAAAATGAGAAGGGAAAAAGTCCCTGATTTTCTATTCATCAATTCAGACTGAATTTCCAGTCCCTTCCAACACTTTGGGACTGTGCTATTTTGCCTGATGCTCCCCTGGAAATAATCCATCACTTCTGAGCTCCTGGCCAGGCTTCCTGGAGGTGATCCCACCCTGCAGCACTGTCACTCCCACATCCTTGCTGGGGCTGGACCTGCCCTCTGCTCCATCCTGCTGGCTAAAACCCTTACTCACTCCTGGTGATGGCAAACATCTGGCTCCACACCTTCAGCAAACATCAGCTCCATCCCTTGGGATCAGGCTGTGCCCAGGGAGCCACCAAGGCAGAGGAGAACACCTGCTTCTCTTAGCTCAGCAGTTATGTTTTATACACCAGGAGGGTTTTTTTGGAGGAATGCTTGATTTTAGTCCAGATGCCCTTTGGAGCAGATGATCTTCTGAGATCTCTTCCAAGCTGGACTGTTCTAGAATTAGCCAAATCCTCATTTCTGTTTTTCATCAGGATGAGAGGAACCAAAACACAAGCCCTCCATCTCTGGCACTGGAACTCTCACACATGCAGCAATGGGAGCAGTAATCAAACCCCAAACAAGCCCTCACCAACTCCATCTTTCAAGTCACTGCAACAAATTTCCACAGCTGGCCAGTGGAACAGCAAATGGAAATCTGTAGGTACCCATGTTTTATGAACAGAAGCCAAATTCTTCCTCCCTCACATCCAGATACACTAATACCTCCAAAAATCACTGATTTTTTTTAATCATTTTTTAAGTAAGTACTGCTCTTTTAGTCACCATAATAGTATTGCTTGTATTTGCTGTACCACCATAATATGGAAATTAGGAAGTAATTTCCAATCTCCCCTTTGCAAAATTTCCAGGACTTTGTAAATTTTCAGACCCTTGTAATTTATTTGTAATAATGCCTCAAAGAATTTTGGAGAAATTCATCACATGTGCTTTGCAGTGCCCTTCAAAAGGCAGAAATAAACCAATTTTTGTCCTGCAGAAGACAGAAAATTCTTTGGATGAGGCAGCAAGGACACAGCAAGGATGCCCACAGCAAGGGCACTGCAGGGCAGCTGTTTCTATTTCTTCCTCCTCCTCCAGCAGCTCTACATAATATTTGTTTCACTCAACTTTTTTAATACTTATTCTTTTGCATTCATTACCTACTATTTAATCACCACAATAATCACTTAGCAGGGCACATCACACCTTCACTCTGGTTAATATTATGAGCCCAGGGATTAGGGACATTTAAGGATATCCAAGTGAGCTCACTCTGGCACGGCAGAACATCATTAAACAAATTAAATTTGCCTTGCAGGTTTATACTTTATGTGTAACTTCAAATAACCATGGCCAGGACACACCATCCTCTGCTCATTCAGCTCCAGCTCAACCTCTCTTAGGCACCAGGCTCGAGTATCCTGATCCAGAATTTCTGTAACACGGGATTTGTGCACTTAGAAAGAGCAAACCAGAAACTTCAGAGAAGTTTTTCTTCATTAAGACACAGATCAGGTACAACAAGGACATCTCACCACAGAACTCTGATTTCCCATCATTCAAGACTTCTGCCAAATATCACATACTTTTACTAAAAGCCCTGTTCATTTCACAGAAAACTTCAAAAATACTTCAAGAGAAAAGTCTCTCTGCAGCACTGCATGTGTAGCAGAAAACACTTCTGAAAGTGATGAAGATCCCCTTCTCTCAAAGCCACTTCAGTTTACTTGTTACAAGTTTAGTGATGCTCTACACACAGAGCTCACAGTAGGAAAGAATGAATAAAGAGCTCACAGAAAAAAATGAAAGTAGGAAAAAATGAATAACAGGAAAGAGGGCAGGAAAGAATGAATGAAGTTTTCCCAGTCTCCACCACAAACTCTCTGGTACAGATATCAAACTTCAGAGGGTGCTGTGGCATCTCTGTGTTTGCACAGTTCTTAGGGATAAATCCTGCCCTGTGAGGGTGGTGTGGTGGTTCCCCAGAGAAAATGTGGATGTCCTCTATCCCTGGACGTGTCCACATCCAGGCTGGACAGGGCTTGGAGCAACCTGGGATTGTGGAAGGTGTCCCTGCCCAGGGCAAGGGGTTTGGAATGAGAAAGTCTTAAGCTCTCTTCCAATCCAAACCACTCTGTGACTCTTTCACCAAATATTTATAGCCCGATGACCAACTTCCAGCTGCAAAGCACCACCCTGGCTGTTCTGGAGCTGTACAGTCATTCCAGACACACTCTGTTAAAGCCAAGCACATGCAAATAGCCTCGAGTGATAAGTATCTGCCAAAGCCTGGTTTCTGTCTTCTCAACGTCCAGATGAAACTTTCCACAGCCAGGCAAACCCGGAGCCTTTTTTCAGTGGGCATCAGGTGACCAAAGGACTCTCCAGCCCCGGAGAGCAGCAGAGGAAATGCAGCTGCTGCAGTGGGAAAGGCTTTAGAGAGAAGAACCTACAGCTTCTCCTTTGCTAAATCGTGTGAACAGAGGGTAATGAACACCGGGATGGAAAACAGGATATAAAAGTGATCGAATCAGGTTATTTTTTATCAGGCAGCTAAAACACAATTTGGGGCCTTGGTAAACGAGTCACCCTCACCTATAAACCCCTGTGGCTTCCTAAAGTTGGCCTACTGCTTTAAAAAGGCTCCAGAGCACATCACCACCCTTATCTCCGCTGATAAGGAGAGGCGAAGGTCCAGGACACAAAGCACGAATCCCACGGGCACTTCTGCCCTGGGCATCGCGTGTTGTGTCCCACTGCGGGGAGAGAAGGGCCCACTTACACATGAGCGCTGACTCCACCCGTGTCCCCACGCCACACGCCGCGCCGGTCCCGACCCTTCGTGGGGCCGGAGCCGGCGGGCTCCGGAGGGGCTGCGCGGAGGCCGCGCCGGGGAAGGCAAGGTCACGTCCTTCCCGCCCAGGAGCGCGCCTGCCTCCCACCCACGCGCCATCCGTGCGGGGCCGCCGGGCCGTGCGCGTCCCCACCGAGGCCCCGCCGGCCCCCGGGCCACGCCCGCGGCTCCCGGCGCTGTCCCGGGGTGTGGGGGGCCGGGAGAAGCGGAGAGGAGCTGCGGGCCCAGCGCGGCCATGGAGGCCGAGACTACAGCCCCCAGCAAGCAACACGGCACCCCGCCACCCCATTAAGGACTAAGAGTCCCGGCGTCCCTTGCGGCAGTGCCACATTCCGTCCCGGGCTGTCCTGCCGCGGTGCACGCTGGGACTGGTAGTGCACCCCACCCACCAGCGCCCGCCCCCCGCCTCCGTTGGCGGACGCGGCCGCCCGTCTAAGGCTGCTCAGCCAATCACGGCCCGCGCGTGCGGAGTCATTCAGCGCGCGCCGAGTCGCGGTCACAGGGACTCCTCCATCCCAGCAGGCCCGGCCCGGCCGCACCGCTCGCAGGGCTGGTCACAGCGGGGGTGGGTCGCGGGGTTCCCCCGGGGAAAGCTCACCTGCTTGGCCGCGGCGAGCCCCGCTCGGCGGCACGCCCGCAGCATGGCTCGGAGCGGCGGCCGGCGCGGCCCGCGGGAAGGCGCCTTGCGCGGGTCCTGCCGGCGCCGCCTCCGTCCCCACCTTCAGTGGGCACTGCGCCTGCGCGGGCGCTCCCGCCCCGCCAGGGGGCGGCCGCGCGTGACGGGTCTCGCGTGGCCAATGGGAGGGCGGGCACGGGCCGCGCGACGCCGGCGGGGCGGGGTGGGGCCCGAGCTCGGGGGCGCGTGCTCACCCGGGACCTTCGGGGCGCGGGCGGGCCAGAATAAAATAAAATAAAAATAAAAATCACAGAATGGCTCAGGTCGGATGGGACCACAGTTGGTCGTCTGGTCCAACCTCCCTGCTTAAGCAGAGTCATCGCAGAGCACGCGGCACAGGAGTGCAACCAGAGAGCTCTGGAATGTCTCCGGTGAGGGACACTCCGCACCCGCTCTGGGCACCGCGGCCCCGTGCCCGGTCACTGCCCTGTGAGGGAGCTCTTCCGCACGTTCCGGTGACGCTCCTGGGCATCAGCTGCTGCCCATTCCCGCTTATCCCATTGCCCGGCACCACCGAGCAGAGCAGAGCCCGGTCCCTGCTCCGAGCGCTGACGGAGCACAAATAAATTCGTACATTGACGGGCATGATGAGATCTCCTCTCAGGTCTCTTCCCGAGGCTGAGCAGCCCCAGCTCTCTCAGCCTGTCCCCCAGTCTGAGTATAACACAGCACGTTTTATAGCGTTTATCAACAATTTACAGCTGTAACCTTTCACAGCTCGCTCATAAACCTTCTCTCGCTCAGAGCACTCAGGAGCCATTTTTATCTCATCCTTCAACCAGTCCGGCCAGGCTTCTGAAGAGAAAAAAATCAGAATACACCAGTAATGCGCACAAACAATGAGTTAAATCCACCTGGTGCGTTTTATAGGAGACTTTACTAACAGATCCCCGGGGGCGGAGGCTCGGTGTGTGCCGGTCCCTAAAGGTGACGGCTGCGCGGGGGGAAGGAGCGGGAGCGGGGCGGACGAGGAGGACCCTGGGGCTGTGAGGGATCCCGAGTCCGGTGCGGAACCATGGCTCCGCTGCGGGATCCCGAGTCCCGTGGGGAGCACCAGCTCCAGTGCGAGATCCCGAGTCCCCTGTGGGATCCCGAGTCCGGTGCGGAACCATGGCTCCGCTGCGGGATCCCGAGTCCGGTGGGGGGTCCTGGCTCCACTGCGGGATCCCGAGTCCCGTGGGGAGCACCAGCTCCAGTGCGAGATCCCGAGTCCCCTGTGGGATCCCCAGTCCGGTGCGGGATCCCGGCTCCGCTGCGGCCGCCGCCCCCGTGGGCGGGACGCGGCGCGGCCCCGCCCGGCGCAGCGTGGCCATGGCTATGGCGGCGGCCCGCGGGGCCCTGGCGGGTCGGTACCGGGGCGGTTTCGGTGTCGGGGCTGGGGGTGTCTGGCTGGGGTGTTTGTGCTGAGGCTCTCCCGTGTCCCCGCAGGGATCCTGCGGCGCTGGGCCCCCCGCGCGCTGCCGCTCGGCGGCCCCTCCGCCCGGTGCGTGGGGCACGGACCGGCCCCGGCCCCGCTCTGGGCCCCGCGGCTGCTGAGCGAGAACCGGCCCCGGGCAGGGACCCCCTCGGTGCTCAGCAGGTGCGGCTACGCGGCTTCTCCCTCGTGCGAAAAACCCTTAAAAGGGATATACACGTGTGTATATATATATATATGTATATGTATATATACACATATACACGGATGTGTTTCTCTCTATATATGTTATATATATGTACTTAACATATATTTCTATTTGCATACCTTATATATTTTAGATGTATTATATTGTTTCATATCAATATAAATAATTTGAAATACGATATATTTCAAATATGTGTGTATATATATGTATATAACGATATGTTAAAGTATGTTTATACGTAAATACATTTAGGAATATATATTTTATTCCACTACATATGCATTACATAATATGCAATATACTGTGAATTTATGATGTATCCTATAACATGTACAATTTATCATCGTGTGTATTAATATTATATTGTTAATATAGTCTATGTTATATTTCATAATATAATATGTAGTATTATATTACATATGCAATATGGGTAGTATATATGTTGAAATTCCTCCATATATATATATATATATATATATATGAATATTGTAGAATCATAGGTTGGAAAAGACCTCTAAGATCATCAAGTCCAACCCTTACTCCAGCACTGCCAAGGCCAGCACTAAATCGTGTCCTCAAGTGCCACATCGGCGCAGATTTTACATCCCTCCAGGGATGGAGACCTGTCCATTGCCCTGGGCAATCTCTGCCGGTGCTTGACAACCCCTTCTGTGAAGAAAGTTTTCCCTGAAGTCGATCTAAACCTCCCCTGGCAAAACTTTCTCTTTTCCTGTTGCTGCTTGGGAGAAGAGACTGACCCCATTCCCCATATAAATATAAAGTACATACAGAGATAGATAGACAGACATATGTATAATATTTAGATTTCAGTCTGACACTCTTGGGCACCTTTTCACTCTGCAGTGGGTCTGTGTTAGCCCCAAAGCTTCCCACTTCAGTCACCATTAATGCTTGAAGCAGAAGGTGAATTAGTGTACTCTTTGTAGCCATATTTTACAATTAGTCTTGTAATCAGTACAGTTTCTCTTGCTGCTCATGGGTGTTGGAGTAGATGATTCATGAGGTCCCTTCCAACTCACACTATTTTGTGACTAATATTCTAAAAGTAATTTCTGAATCCAAGTAACAGCTGAATATTGGCTTCTGAGTGTTTGACTGCTTTTAGTAGATTAAGAAAAGGTGCTCTGTGTGGAATAATAAGTTTGAGCTGAATTTTGACAAGAGTCCAGCCCTGCCATTGTTATTCTACACCCATTAGGTGCTGTGCTATAATATTAGATGAGTCCTTGTTACCCTTCAAACAAGCCCCAGCTCTTCTGATCTCCCTGTGTGAGATAAAGGCAGTGATTTCTTTTAGAAAAAGGTGCTTCATTCCTGTTCTATTTCCCTCTTCACCCTGGGGTTGGTTTGGTTTTTTTTTTAGTGTCACACCTCTGCTTCCAAGTTTACTCCAGCAGCCAGCGAGGAGCCTCACCTACTGCAGCCTACGGAAAGGAAAGAGGAAAAGTGTGAAAGCTGTGGTCAAAAGGTTCCTCCGGCTGCACAACGGCCTCTGGGTCAGGAGAAAGGTGAGGTTTTTTTGGATAATGAGAGCCTGTTCTTTACAGTCAGGCTAAAGTGTTATTGTTTTCCTTCACTTGGAGGGCAGTGGCTGATGGGGAAGTTAAAAAAAGCTCTGTGGAGAGACTCCCATTTTCCTGAAAGGGGAGGATTTATCCAGGGTTGCTGAGCAGTGTGGCTGTGTTTGTGCATTTGCAGTGAGCTGCTAAGAAGTGGGGTTTTTTGGTGTGTGTTTTCTCCTGACAGTCTGGTTACAAGAAGAAGCTGTGGAAGAAGTCAGCTGCCCAGAAGAAGCGTTTGAGGGAGTTGGTGTTGTGCACGAGGACACAGTGTAAGCTCCTGGATAAAATGACCACTTCCTTCTGGAAAAGAAGGAACTGGTACGTTGATGACCCCTTCCAGAAGTACCACGACCGCACGAACCTCCGAGTGTAGAAATCTTGGGTTTGCACAGCTCTGGGAAAGGGGCAGTGGTCGTGTGCCACGGTCTGGCTTTTGGAACATACATCTGGAATGCCTGTGCTTTTTCAAATAAACATGTGCATATCACCTGAGCAGAATTATGGGAATCAGTGCCCACAATAAAGGAATACTCGAATTTATCTTCGTCTGCTGTTTGTTTTACTTAGCAGAGGTCAGGCTGGTCACCTACACATTCTGATGTCTGGTGGTTTCCTGTGATTGTCTGTCACGGAGGAATACACTAAACAGTACTAAAAGTGAATAATTCAACATACTTAATCTTATTTTTCAAAAATAAATATGTTTAAATAAGCCCAAAATCTATTTTTCTGTATCCATACTAAGTGGTGGCTCACTGAATGGAGTCTTCTGGGGAAGAGGAAAAAGGAGAGCAGGGTCCATCTTAGCATTGTTGCCTGTCACAATAACACATTATTGCCTTGTGTCCATGCTGGAAAGTGTAGGGGGAAAAAAACCCCAAACCAGAGTTTCATAGCTATATGCTGATTTTATGACTGATTTTGAAATGTTTTGGCCACCAGCTTTCATTACAATACTCACATTTTGTGTCCTCTGTTGGTTTTTTAATAGTAGAATCTATTCTTTGTGTCCTGCACAACATCCTCAAGCAGACAAGTCAGAGTAATTTCTTGTTTATTCACACTTCATACTGCACATTCCTGGTCACACATAAATGGAACAAACCCAAGGGTTTATCATGGGGTCTGTTTGGAGTGACCAGACCATCTACACCCTGTTTTTGCTAAGGGTTGGATCAGATGTTTTCTCTACAAAGCTGATACTCCAGAAAAGCAGTGAAAGCAGTACTTTAAAGCATTCCCTGATCACCCATTTTTGAGCAGACAGTCCCTGGTTATCAGCCCCAGAGCTG